ATTTACTTCATGCATGACTTTGATGAATATGTAGATGAAGATAATATAGAAGATGTATTGAATAAAGCAGATGAAGAAATAAATACCGACATAGAAGAAGACCAAGATAAAGATAGTATAATAGGAATACAGGCATTTCATTTTGAATTGATAATTATTGAAGATATTTACTACTAACATATTTCTAATAATATTTATTTATTCGAATTATGGATTTGTAAGATAGGGTTATTAAAGGGTAGGGGATAATGTTTATTGTTGTCTATTGTTGTTGTTGTTGTTGTTGTTTTTTTTATGTTGTTTTTCGCTTGGTTTGTTTTTGTTTTTGGTTGTTATAGGAATTCTTGGAAAAGACATTTAAGAAGATAATCATATTTATATGTAATGGATAAATTTTGTAGATACTGTGTTCAAGATTTAACAATTGATAGTTTTGAAGATGGATTGAAGACTTGTAAGACATGCTTGGAATACAAGAGAATGAAAGAACTATGACAAACATAAAGATAACGTGAATGAAACACAAAGAACTAAATATAAAGAAGATGAAGAATATAGAAAAAAACAGGAACAAATACAAAACTATCGTGATAAAGTTGCCTTTTGTAATGTATGCAATTCATCAATGAAGGCACAATGTCATTCAAAACATTTAGAAACAGAGAAACATAAACGGAATTTAGGAACGGTTGATGGATAGGATTTTGTAAATGAATAAGGTAATAATGCTTTTGACTGCTATGAATTTGAAAAAATGAATGAGGTAAGTATGTTTTGACTGCTATGATTTTGAAAAATTGACTGAGGTAAGTATGCTTTGACTGCTATGATTTTGAAAAATTGAATGAGGTAAACATGCTTTGACTGCTATGATTTTTAAAAATTGAATGAGGCAATTATGTTTTGATATTGTTGAGAAAATGAAGCAATTAACAATATATAAACTGGTTTTTTGGACTGTTATGTTTTTTTTTTTAATGAAAAAAACATGATTTGTTATACTGCTATGATATTAGTTTAGAAAACTTCACTGAATCAATTTTTTTTACATTTTTTGGGGGGGTGGCAGGGCCTGGTGCATATATACATACTGTATTATGTGTGTATCCCTGTCATATTCCCTATATGTTTGGTTCAATTTCTTTCATTTGTGGCAGTTTCCCCCATTAAACCACATTCCCACCCTGCGCGGAAAGGGCCCTTGGGAGGATGCCTGGGCAGACTTCCGACGGCTCGATGCCAAGGAGGGGCGTGCAAGCCACAGAACGCCTGAAACTTCATCGTGGATGACTGATGCCTATGCACACCATACTGTATATATTGTCCAATTGTGTTTTCCATGAATATATGTACAATACATATGTATGTATGTATTATATATATATATATATATGTATGTATGTGTGTGTGTGTGCGCGCGCTTATGTATGTATGTGCGTGCGTGAGTCAAACTATTCTTTCTTCTAGCTAATTGCAAGAAATTGCAACGTTTCAGAGTGTGTGATGCAAAAGTAAAAAATCATGTTCCAACGGCGGTTGGTCGGGGTTGGTTGGTCATTGGTGGATTTTCGGCAGGCGGAGCTACATGGTTCCCGGCGGGTGGGCATTGGCTGCAGCGATTCAGATGCTGGGCCCCAGCTGTTCGATGTTTGAGGTTTATCCACTGGGTTGGGTCAACAGCGTTTCAATGTGCCGAAGAAGGTTCCAAACCACGGGATTGACAGTTTTGATCAATAGATATCAATAGGTGGACCAGGAAACATATCAAAAATCCAAGATAATCAGATATTCCAAGCATTTGTTGGCAGGGTTTGATCTGGAGGTGGACGTTGTCTCGTCCATGACCTTGGAAGAGATTGTGGAAATCACCAGGTGAATCGCAGCGCCGGCAGCCCCAAAATTGTTGTCCCTTTTCAGGACATTCAGCAGCACCAAAAAGGGGCTTGGATTCGAGGGGTTTACTTATGATAGAAGTGATTATTTGTAATTGAATTATATAAAGGTTGTTGGCAACTCTAAATGTTTTTAAACATCTTTCTGAGACAAGTAGAGAAGAATAGAGAAGGATAGAGAAAACCCAAGAAAAAAATAGATCGTTTTTAAACATGTTTTCACTGATTGACACCAGAGAGGCTCAGGTCCAACCAATGGAGAAACACAGTGATCCAGTGTTGTTTTCAGGTTTCAGGCCCTATCAAGTTCTATCCGGCGCAAGTGCTGTCAAGTGTTGTCCAATGTTGTCAGATCTTGTCCAATGCTTTCAATTGTTTTCAAAAGATGTCAGGTGTTGTCAAACGTTATCAAGTGTTGTCAGGCCACCACCAAGTGCTGCCAAGTGTTAACCAGCAAGAGCCAGCCAGTCAAAAATTATGGCTCCCAAGAGCCACACGCCAACCACTATGACATCAGAGCAAAATAGAGAACAATTGAGAAACAAAAAGATACATTTAGAGAAAAATAGAGAAAATTAGAAAAATAGAGAAATATTTCAAACAAATGAGGTTTTTGTAATTGGTTTTTAGCTGGCAGAGAAGCATAGAGCAACATAGAGCAAAATAGAGAAACATAGAGAAAAATTGCGAGAAATAGAGAACAATTGAGAAACATAGAGAAAAATAGAGATAGCATTCACATCAGAAACTGTTCAGCCACCCACCCTGCAGGAAGGGAATCCTACCCCAAGACCGCTCAGTCAGCAATAACCGCCCACACCTACTAGGAAGCTGTTCGAAGATGATGAAGCCAACCAAACATGTTCCGGAATCCAACATGCATTATGGTAGATACCTGCTTAGAACAAGTCAGCATTTGACACAACGTTTGAGTTGATATACCTCACAAAAACCATTATCACTCGACATATTAACCATCATACAACATTGTCAAATCCACACAACATGGACTTGGTAAAATGGCAGAGGCTCAAAGTAAATCCCCAACGTTCTCAGTCCACAGCTCGAGAGTATTTCAATGGTTACACTTGATCCTCTCGAGTCCAACGGGCAGAGTTGGAGACAGCCAATGCATAAAAATCTCTCTTGGCTAAACCCCTACATGTTAATCATTCCCTTTCGCGAGTGCGACATGGGAATGATTGGGATTGGCTCGCAATGATGTAATATTATGTATAAATATGTATAATATATATATATATATATTATGTATCCCCCTATATACTATATACCGTATTTGTGGATATATCCCCCAAGGTTAATAAACAAATTTTGCCAATTTGCTGGGCTCATTGAATCATTGGTGCACCTTTCGCCACAGTCACTTATCGGGTAAAAAATATACCGACCTCACTGTGATGTCACTGGAATGATGGTTATAGTAGGTGTAACATGGTGTAACTGTAACTCTCCCAAAATTGGCCTTTATTCAGGATCAGATTTTTTCCAGCTCACTGAGGTTCAACCTGTATCCCAACTGCCAACATTCGTCGACAGGTCCCGAGCCTCACCCCGGGCCTTTGAGATCGACGAACATGTCCGTGGGGTTGCCTTGCCACTCAGTGGAGTCTCAGTTTGGTGTTGGCTGGTTGTGTTTTGAGGATGTTTCATCAAACCCTCATTGAGGGTGGTTGATAAGCCTTCAATATCCTTCAATAAATATAACCATCATTGTTGGGGCGGTCACTTTTAGGGGGTGGACTTCCCATGAAGGGGGTGACAAGGTTCTGGAAGGGTTGATGTTAGACTCATAGTCCTTCAAAGACATCATTATACCATATTATACCCATGGAATTGGTTTATGGGAACGTTGACAGGGCACGATTCTTTTTGACCAATTTCATGGCTTTCTGAAATTTTTGTAACTTTTAACCAGGACAATCTTTGAGATATTTCTTTTTGGTATACAGACGGGTGCGTAATATGGATCCATGATGATCAATGTGACTGCAATGTGGCCTTTTTTTTCAGCTGCTTCAGCTGCTTTAGGGATCCTGTAGCATCAAAAGGGAGAGAGAGTTAGCCTCTTGGTAATCTAATAGTTATGCAAAATCAATTAAATCAAATCACCAGCGATATCATCAAACTATAAATCGACCATCTATATCATAACAAACTGTTTTCATTACCAGATGGTTCTTGCCATTCACAGCCCTGCGATGGTGTCCAGGTTGGGCGCGCGTGCCAAGACTCTTGCTGCGCCATCGGCCAACCGATATCCAGGTGAGCAGCGGTTCGTGTTGAAACCAAGTTGAAGCCGGTAGTGTGGGAATATGTACTAGAAGAACCATGTGGATGTATGTGGATGTCAGATGAATTTCTAAATGAATGTGAAAATCACTAATCAAGAAATATCAATCATATGGTTTTGGGTTGATCATGGTTGATCCAGTGAGTAGCCAAAGGTGGCAACGCTCTGACCAAAGTGGACTTTTCAGGTGGACATCATTTGCCAAAACCAGTTGGATAGCCAGTCAAACAAGCGGGACGAGGCACCACTTGAGATGTCTCTGTGAGTGGCATGCATGTGATGGACAAGAAACTAAGATCATCATTCATCATCAGATGAGAATCACATAGAATCACCTGAGACCCTAATGTGGAGAGAGAAAGAACAGAATCAAGCTCTGGGAATTGCACGAAAGTCCTGCAGCATGGGAAGCTCCTTGCGGCCACTCGTTTCCCCTGATAGGACTGTAGGTTGGGAACCTATGCCCTTGAAAGCCCATTAAGATGCTTTTAACAATAATAGTAATAATGATAATAATAGTAATGTAGTTGTCTATACCCCTACATGGTTGCCCCATGTAATGTGGCAACCTACCACCAACAAAGTATATCATACTACTTTGCAGTGTCTTGCATTCGACTGCAAGGTTGTGCTTGTCCTTTTGAATGCTTGCCCTTTGGCGCGTGACCTCGTGATGCAAATTGGCGACTGGGCCAGGAGCTCAAGCAACCCCACTGGCATCTACGATGTCCATTCCTGGCATTTCCTGACCGGATGTCCCACTCAACATGAGTGCACACATTATGACATAGCTAAATTGACGCTTTTGCTGGTGTGGCCAGGCTCATGCGTATGCAGCAGCGATGCCACCCAAAGAAGGACTGCTGTCCATGGCTATCCATGGCTATCCATGGCTCCATGGCTACTGATGCGATGCCATGGGATGGCAGGATTTCCAAATAGCTACACCTTTCGGATGATGGGCTTTCACTATTTGATGATCAGACCATCAGGGCACAAGACTCAGCGATGATGACCTCCTTAAGGCTTTACTGTGAGTGGCATGTGCACAGTGTGGGCGAAGGTGTGGATTCCGATATGGTATGTTTAATTCGTTTTGCTTAGGCCTTTGCTGCATGGCACTTAGCAGGGTCCACCAGCCTGTCGCACGTTTGGAAACCACAGCTGTGGCCACAAAAAATGTTCAATGCGACTCCTTTTTGCTGTTCACTTGAGGTTTGTTGGTTGTGCATGTGAGATCATTTCCAGCTTGGGACACTTGATTATATACTTAGCACGCTTGAGGCCCCCATTGGACACGAGCGGGGCAATCTTGAGGCATGGCTTGCTGAAAATTATTGTGAGGGTTTGTTGACCACATGCCCATTTCAGATTGTTTCCACTTGAAGTGAGCATGGAAATATCAGAATCATAGAAGATTCAACACATGGCGCGCCCTGCCAGGGAACCACCGCCATCTCTGGAAGAGATACCTTTGGTGGCAGATGTTTTCAGGGAATGGCTGTGTAACTTGGCTTGGCATGGCGCAGGCCACTGGAAGCCATGAATTCTCAAGAGATTTGGATGATTTGGGCAGGACCACCTGCAGGGGAGAATTTCCCTAGGACCTAGGAACAAAGCTGGTACAAATTGGTACAGTGCCTTGTTGTGCTTCGATGTTATCCTGCATATGCAATCATAATATATGTCATAATATTAATATGGCGTAATTCATGTTGCTAGATCGTCTTGAAATTGTTCGGTACTCTACTGGCTGCACCAGAAATGATATCAAGGACATCAGTTCCACACATCCATTTGGAGAAGTCCCCTTTCGCCAATACCTGAGGTCACTTGGTGGATGTAGTCGCCTCAGTCTCTCACATCCCAAAATATGTATATTATAATTATAAATTGTAATTATATATATATATTATACTATGTATTTTTTTAATACATCATGTCATATTATATATACTATGCAATATTATATGCTAGCTAGTAGTGTAGTTATATAATAATATATGTATAAGTAAAGATGGTATAGCAGAGGACACTTGGCAGTGGTTCAAACACATGTCGATTGCATTGTGTGGAACTAGCATCAGTGCGCAGCTTGGCTTGATGCAAATCTATGTCTACAAGAACGGCATGGAAAAAACATGTTGAACAAAGCGGGACATCCAGTGGCCTGGCATTTGGACTTACCTTCATCGCTACTATCATGACCTGACAGGATTTCATGGAGTGATTTTTTGCCAACAAGCACCACCAGACAGCGTGGTCAAAGGTGACCCATGGAGCTGCTGAAGCTTTTTCTCTTGCCGCTTGCGGTGGCACTTCAAGAGCTCAATGATGAAACCTTTGAGCATCAAACCCAGGCGGTCCGTCCGCTGGGACCAATGGTCCCCAAAAATCAATGGCCTGTGGAAGGGGTTGTAATCCCCCATCAACCGTAGAATCAGGGTAGGTTATTGAAGTAGGATGAAGTAGGCATAGACCTTGATACGAAGTTCGCTCCTTCATTTCCACCATGGCATAATCATTTCTGCCAGCATCATTTCTTCCATGATCATTTTATCCACCATTTTGCCATCATATGTTTGGCAATAATCACCCCAACATCTCCAATTTTCTTCTCCATCAGCATATCATTCTCCATCATTTTCTTTATTCATCTCGTCGTAGGAGCGAATCTAGCATCAAGGTCATTGAAGTTTGGCAATTGATCCAAACCCAATCCCATCCAATCCCTCTACCACCCCGCGTCAAATTAGCCCATTTACTTGACCTGGACCAGGCCTCCACCGGTATGACGACGGGCAGCTGGTTGGTGTCCTTCGGCCTCGACTTGGAAGATGCCTTGGATGCTGTGGAGGAAGAGCTCAGGGAGGCCTATGTAATCCCTGCCATGGTGAAGGCCATGGATACCGCTGTCGATGGATATTGGATGTTGGGAGGTGCGTAGTTTGAGGATATATGCAATTGGCATCAGCTTGAATATCCGCTTATATAAGATTTGTTTCTCGAAAGATGTTGCAGCCAAACTTATCAGTTGAAATCATGTTGAATCTCACATTTGGAGTGCTTGAGATTTGTGGCCCATGGTTTATATTCTATGTAAACTTCTCCCGAAACAGGTGCAGTGCCCGCAGGGTTAACCTGTTCGGCCGTGCCTTTTCGAGGACGGCAAAGAACTGTGGAAGAGGTTCGGCATCAAGGAGGTGCGCTGAAAGCCGGAAAGCATTTGCTTGCTGATTTCGATGGTTTTTAAAGGTACAAGGTTGATGATTACAGGGAGTCATACTGGGAGTTATACTAATTACCCAACTAATTGCCCAATATATTGGGGAAAATCATAATCCACTATGAGCTTCCCTAGCAACCTCTGTAGTGGAATGACAGAGGGTTTTGAACACTGCTCACCTATTTTCCATCATTTTCCACAGTTCAGCTAGGTCGGCCAATGGGTTAGTAAGCAGATGTAAGCAGTAATCCGTTTTCCTTATTTTCCATCCATTTATGTTCCTCGATTTAGGTGTGAGTGCTGCTGTTGGTATTGGTGGCTAAAGCTGGAGGAATGCAGAGGGATAGTTCTGCATGTTCCATGTGAGCTTCTTGATCGAAAACTCAACACTCAACGCTTCGGGGAAACTCAATCGAATGCATCTCAAGAGAGAGAGAGAGAGAGATCCCGGCGATGGTGTCTCCGAAAAGTGAAAAGACGGGTTTCAAGGCTAAGCGGCTAAGTGGCTAACCTCTCGAACCTCCACAGTTCGCCCATGTTGAGTCCTGACCCGCCCAGCCGGTGGCTTTGCTCTTCGCCAAGCATAAGCTCTATCGCTACAAGGGCTCCAAGTCCTCGACGGAGCTGCTGGCCTTTGTGCGAAAAGCCTTGGATGGAGAACTGCACGGGGAGCAGATTCCGCCAGAGAGAAGTTTCTTGGAGAAGTGCCTTGGAGACTCGAGGGAGACTTGAGGGAGAGGGATGATGAGTTGGCCAACATTTGGCTCACAAAGTGTAAACATGATTCAGCAATATTCAACATAAACGTGCTTGCTACAGCCAGCCCAAGATAGCAGCGCGATAATGACCTCAGCTGTGAGGTTCCTGTGTTTTCTCTCTCCATTCTCACCAAGGCTATGGGAGCGTTTCATGGGTCAGGGAGAGCTTTGACAGGTACATGACTGGTGAAAAAAGGAACTCAGCCTGCCTGGTGCCCGTTCTCGGAAGGTTTCTGGCAATCATAATTCGACTCAAATGTTTGTTATTGATGCTACCATAGCGTACCACATTCATGTTTGTTCAACCCTGCGTTGACATTGACATGGAATTGTGTCGCTGTGGTGGGAATGGGGCATGTTGCATTGTTGTCGCAGCTTTTTTTGTTTCCTCGGGCTTCCCACGTGTTAAGCATTGTTAAGCATGCCTGCCGCAATGGCTAGCCGCCATAATCAAGCTACCTGGCAGTAATGTGGGCTTGAAGATCCGTGATACTTCTGTCATTTGACATCATTTGATAGCTTCAATGACCATTTTATTGAAACAAGCAATATGTGCATATTATTATGTGTTTTGTATGTTTTGTTTTTCCGTCCGATTGTGCTGTATTCCGTATAGGTTTAACTCAAGAATCGATGAGCCGTATGTCCATGTGTATGGTTTGATGTGCCCTCGTTGTCCTCATTCCTCCTGGTCAACGTCTGAGGGCCAACATCTACGGTCAACCCGCGGGTAGTATGTATACAAATGTGTATAAATGAACAATACACATGTTTATATACATAGAATCTACATGTACCATAGCCCAATGGATATTACATGATATTATCCAATGGCCAACCAGCCTGAGGTTGGAATCAAGATGGCAGCACTGGGAGCAGCAACAGTCTTCGCAGCCAGCCTGTTACCTCGTACAGGAGCCTTCGTGGCTTTGCCGCCAGTTTCTCGAACAGGGCATCAGCTGCCTGAAATGAGCCTTGGATGCCTTGCAGTTTACCCTAGCGGCTGAAGGGTTTCTGCTGGCTTGCCCATATTTTTGCCATTGGTTCATGAAATTCAACATAGTAAAGATATGTGAAGATCATTCAGCCATCCAAAGACTTAAAGTAGAACTCAGTTGAACTTCGATTGAAGCTTAATCTGATTCCGGTGAAATCTGGATGCACTGAGGAGCTTTCAAACAGCATCTGCTCCTAGTGGAACCTTCTCCGCCGCTGCTGCCGCCACTGCTGCGCATCTCAGCAGCAAACAACCCATTCTTGGCACCAAGCCCCTTACATTCCAGTTGAATGCTACTAAAGTTTTGAATTGGTCCACCACCGGTCAGTGCCTCCCAAATCTAATTCTAGCAACATCAAATGGCTAAATTTGTGGTTGCCCATCCTGCTCGTGCTTTTACCATCTTGTGCCTGATGATCTGAGCTGGATAGTTTTGATGTATCCTTTGGAAGGGCCGCCAAGACTCAGCCACAAACATGTGAGGTTCGCAGCGATTTTTGCTGCCAGGGTGGGCTTCGCTGCCGCTGTGCCAGCCGGACTCTCAGAGTAAAGCCGATGGTCTACAGATCAAATGTACATTCGCGGTGCCATATTCAATCGGCATCCAAAAGCTACCAATAGCTGCAATAGTCATGTTAATCATACAATTCTAGCTGGCATGCACATATATGTATATAAATATTATTTCAAATTATATACATATATATATAATTTATACAATATACACATGTACGTTTATGTATATAATTATTTAATGATCAAATGCAATGTAGTGTAGTGTAATGCAATGCAAAGCAATGTAGTGTAATGTAGTGTACTGTATGTATATATGTGTAATGCAATGCAATGCAATGTAATGCAATGCAATGCAATGCAATGCAATGTAATGCAATGCAATGCAATGTAATGCAATGCAATGCAATGCAATGTAATGTAATGTAATGCAATGCAATGCAAAGCAATGCAATGCAATGTAATGTAATGTAATGCAATGTAATGTAATGTGTATGTATATATTTAATATACATATGTATATACATTTTATATTTTGTATGTTCTTACAATCCATGGTAAAAATGGCATCTGGTGGATATTCAGCTGGCCATGGCTTCCAGGTCCGCGGCGCGCCCCGCCGCGCAGACAAGGTGGTGCGCGCTTGTGGCACTTGGAGCGTCAGCTCCGGCAGAGGCAACATTCCCCCGCTGGAGGGAGTGGTGCGGAGCTGTGGGTCTCCAATGGTATTCTTTATTGAATGGGGAGCTACCCTCTGGTAATTTAACATAGCTATTGAAAATGACCATTTATAGTATAGTGGATTTTCCCATTAAAAATGGTGATTTTCCATAGCTATGTTAGTTTACCAGAGGGTAGTTGGAGCTACTAATGATAGTTTATCCAACCACATGATAGTTTATCCAAAGATATCCAAACATATTTACGGGTTCCGTTATTTGTTCTCCATTTGTGTAAAGATTTTAAGCAAAGAGAAAGGAAAATAAACACGTTGCCCAGATCTGGCAGGGTCTTAGGTCACGGGTGGTTGTTTCCCATGGTTCAGATTTTACATTATTTTACTATGATGTTTTTGGAAAGGATGTGGCCAGAACAGCCCAAATTTGGCAAACACAACAAGATGCCACAAGATGGCATTGCAACAGCCTGAACGCTGTGTTTCATGTGTTTCTTTGCATGAGAGCTCAAACATCATCGAACATGGGATGGTTTATTAGGGTTATTAGGGTCTACTAATGTCTACCAAAAAAATGGCACAATATTCTTCTTATTCTTCTTCAAACCGGCTTTGGCGGAGGCATCACCTCAAGCAGCTCCTCCTTCATGGGATCATCAATGGCTGGTTCAGTGACAGGGTTCCTTGGCCTGGAGCAATGAGATTGGACAGATTGATTTTCCACGTTTTTTCCCGAGAGCGTCTGAGCGCAGGGTTCTTCCAATAGTGGGGGTCTGTGAAACATCTTCTCATCTTCACATCTTCTCATCTTCGCATCTTCTCATCTTCACATCTTCTCCTCATCCCTCATCTTCTCATCTTCACATCTTCTCATCTTCACACCTTCTCATCTTCACATCTTCTCATCTTCACATCTTCTCATCTTGACATCTTCTCATCCTCACATCTTCTCCTCATCTTCTCATCTTCACATCTTCTCACATCTTCTCACATCTTCTCACATCTTCTCACATCTTCTCACATCTTCTCACATCTTCTCACATCTTCTCACATCTTCTCACATCTTCACATCTTCTCATCTTCACACCTTCTCATCTTCACATCTTCTCATCTTCACATCTTCTCATCTTCACATCTTCTCATCCTCACATCTTCTCCTCATCTCCTCATCTTCTCATCTTCACTTCTCATCTCCTCATCTTCTCATCTCCTCATCTTCTCATCTTCACATCTTCTCATCTTCACATCTTCTCACATCTTCTCACATCTTCTCACATCTTCTCACATCTTCTCACATCTTCTCACATCTTCTCACATCTTCTCACATCTTCTCACATCTTCTCACATCTTCTCACATCTTCTCACACCTCCACTCACATCTTCTCACACCTCCACTCACATCCACTCACATCCACTCACATCTTCTCACATCTTCTCACATCTTCTCACACCTCCACTCACATCCACTCACATCTTCTCACATCTTCTCACATCTTCTCACATCTTCTCACATCTTCTCACATCTTCTCACATCTTCTCACATCTTCTCACATCTTCTCACATCTTCTCACACCTCCACTCACATCTTCTCACACCTCCACTCACATCTTCTCACATCTTCTCACATCTTCTCACATCTTCACATCTTCACATCTTCACACCTTCTCATCTTCACATCTTCTCACATCTTTTCATCTCACATCTTCTCCTCTTGTCCTCTTGCCCTCTTGCCCTCTTGCCTTCTTTATCTTTCTCTCTTAAGGCCGAGGGTGGTGCCGGCGGCGAATCACGAAACGGCAACCCTTTCGCACGAAATGAGGGTCGATCGGCAAAAACTGAGGTAAAAGTGCGATTTGACTTGTCCTGGAGCAACCCTTTCGCACGAAATGAGGGTCGATCGTCAAAAACTGAGGTAAAAGTGCGATTTTACTTGTCCCGGAGCAACCGTTTCGCACGAAATGAGGGTCGATCGGCAAAAACTGAGGTAAAAGTGCGATTTTACTTGTCCTGGAGCAACCCTTTCGCACGAAATGAGGGTCGATCGGCAAAAACTGAGGTAAAATTGCGATTTTACTTGTGCTAAAGCAACCCTTTCGCACGAAATGAGGGTCGATCGGCAAAAACTGAGGTAAAAGTGCGATTTTACTTGTCCTGGAGCAACCCTTTCGCACGAAATGAGGGTCGATCGTCAAAAACTGAGGTAAAAGTGCGATTTTACTTGTGCCGGACTTGTCTATCTGTAAAAGCGCCTGTGTGTAAAAAGCGTCTGTGTGTAAAAGCGTCTGTGTGTAAAAGCGTTTGTGTGTAAAAGCGTCTGTGTGTAAAAGCGTCTGTGTGTAAAAGCGTCTGTGTGTAAAAGCGTCTGTGTGTAAAAGTGTCCGTGTGTAAAAGCGTCAGTGTGTAAAAGCTTCTGTGTGTAAAAGCGTCTGTGTGTAAAAGCGTCTGTGTGTAAAAGCGTCTGTGTGTAAAAGCTTCTGTGTGTAAAAGCCCCTGTGTGTAGAAAGCGTCTGTGTGTAAAAGCGTCTGTGTGTAAAAGTGTCTGTGTGTAAAAGCGTCTGTGTGTAAAAGCGTCTGTGTGTAAAAGCTTCTGTGTGTAAAAGCGTCTGTGTGTAAAAGCGTCTGTGTGTAAAAGCGCCTGTGTGTAAAAGCTTCTGTGTGTAAAAGCCTCTGTGTGTGAAAGTGTTGTGTGTAAAAAGCTTCTGTGTGTAAAAGCGTCTGTGTGTAAAGGACTCTGTGTGTAAAGGAGTCTGTGTGTAAAAGCGTCTGTGTGTAAAAGCGTCTGTGTGTAAAAGCGTCTGTGTGTAAAAGCGTCTGTGTGTAAAAGCGTCTGTGTGTAAAAGCGTTTGTGTGTGAAAGCGTGTGTGCGTGTGTAAAACGTATCTGCGTGTAGAAGCGTCTGTGTGTAAAACCGTCTGTGTGTAAAAGCTTTTGTGTGTAAAAACGTCTGTGTGTAAAATCGTCTGTGTGTAAAAGCGTCTGTGTGTAAAAGCGTCTGTGTGTAAAAGCGTCTGTGTGTAAAAGCGTCTGTGTGTAAAAGCGCCTGTGTGTAAAAGTCTCTGTGTGCAAAAGCATCTGTGTGTAAAAGCGTCTGTGTGTAAAAGAGTCTGTATGTAAAAGGGTCTGTGTGTAAAGCGTCTGTGTGTAAAAGGGTCTGTGTGTAAAGCGTCTGTGTGTAAAAGTGTTTGTGTGTAAAAGCTTCTGCGTGTAAAAGCTTCTGAGTGTAAAAGCCTCTGTGTGTAAAAGCGTCTGTGTGTAAAAGCGTCTGTGTGTAAAAGCGTCTGTGTGTAAAAGTGTCTGTGTGTAAAAGCATCTGTGTAAAAACGTATGTGTGTAAAAACTTCTGTCTGTAAAAGCGTCTGTGTGTGTAAAAGCTTTGTGTGTAAAAGTGTCTGTGTAAAAGCGTCTGTGTGTAAAAGCGTCTGTGTGTCAAAGCGTCTGTGTGTAAAAGCGTCTGTGTGTAAAAGCGTCTGTGTGTAAAAGTGTTTGTGTGTAAAAGTGTTTGTGTGTAAAAGCCTCTGTGTGTAAAAGCGTCTGTGTGTAAAAGTGTCTGTGTGTAAAAGTGTCTGTGTGTAAAAGCCTCTGTGTGTAAAAGCGTCTGTGTGTAAAAGTCTCTGCGGGTAAAAGCCTCTGTGTGTAAAAGCGTCTGTGTGTAAAAGTGTTTGTGTGTCAAAGCGTCTGTGTGTAAAAGCATCTGTGTGTAAAAGCGTCTGTGTGTAAAAGCGTCTGTGTGTAAAAGCGTCTGTGTGTAAAAGCGTCTGTGTGTGTAAAAGTCTCTGTGTGTAAAAGCGTCTGTGTGTAAAAGCCTCTGTGTGTAAAAGCGTCTGTGTGTCCAAGCGTCTGTGTGTAAAAGCGTTTGTGTGTAAAAGTGTCTGTGTGTAAAAGCGTCTGTGTGTAAAAGCGTCTGTGTGTAAAAGCGTCTGTGTGTAAAAGCGTCTGTGTGTAAAAGTGTCTGTGTGTAAAAGCGTCTGTGTGTAAAAGAGCCTGTGTGTACAAAGCGTGTCTCCATACTAACAACAGAAGACTCTGCTCCTCTACGCTCTCGGGCCATCCGTCGTCTAGTTTGACCTCTTTGGACATCTTTGTCCTGCTTTTTGTCACATTTTCTCAATAAAGGGCCATGGTGTGAATTGAATAGAAGTTGAACCGCTGCTTAGCAGGCCCGTAGCGACTCCTTCGAACAGTTCGGGGTCTGCGCTTTCATCAATGTCAATGACACTTGGCAGATCTCCATAGCCTTGGAGTGACAGATTTGTTTGTTGACAGACCAGGTTTGACATGCAACCAGCTTATGTTCAGCACATCCGTCCGCTGGAGCGAGGATGTTTGAGCGATTCAATGAGAAGGCAATTAAGGCCGTGATGATGGCACAGGAGGAGAAATAACAAGAAATCGCTGTTGCAGCCCCCAATAGTGGCGATGTATAATGATTCTAGTAGTGATATTTCAATATATTTCAGATATTTCATGATATGTCCTATGAAGTTCCTATGTATGTGAAGATGTCCGACAATTGTAATTATTCCGAACCATCCCTTCTGCCTACAGATGACAGATGACAGATCAACCCCTTGTCCGCAACATGTGCTGGTTTGTTTGCATGTATTTTCTGATCGGGACCCAGGAGCCTTGGACGGTCTCAGCATGTCTCAGCATTTTTTGACAGGAGTCCCGACGATTGGGTCACAACTACGTTGGAACTGAGATGTTGTTGGTCGGAGTGGTGGCGGACACAAGTGGACCATCAGGAAAAGTCCTGAAGAAGTTCAACGTGACGCTCAAGGATGGGAATCTGGTTTGCCAAGCAGAAATCTCATCATGATTTCTATTCGCGGCTTTCACATGTAATCTGGTATGCAGAAAAACCTGACCCCATCTTACCCCCAGAGATTTCATCTGATTTCCAGGATATTATATATATATACCCTCTGGTAAACTAACATAACAATGGAAAATCACCATTTTTAATGGGAAACCTCACTATAATTAGGGTATTTTCAATAGCTATGTTAAACCACCAGAGGGTATATATGGAACCCTATGGAATCCTATGGAATCCTATCCGGCAGGAAACTCGTAAGACCATGGAAGAGATGGTGGGCCGTGGCACTGGCATGGTCTCTGTGGAGATCCCCTTTACCCCGGCCGCCAAGCGCGTCTTGGGCGATGGGGTGCCCTGGCACAATACGCAATGAACGCGCTGCCGTTTGGTAAGCCTGGCTTTTAGCCACTATTGATTGATATATCTATGTTATCTATATTGAATGTTATATATATATACACTTATACATAGGTATATATATACTATATACATATTTAGGATTATATCACCAAGTATTGCCAATTTGTCCGGTTTTCCTTCAAACATCTTCAAACATTTGATAACTGGGTTTACACCACCTCAAGAGCTCACGTTTACGTTTACCCAGTTTACCCCAACACAAGGTGGAAGAGGCCAAGAGGCTGAATGCCAACACCATCGATACTGCCCACATCTTGTTGGCTCTCCTCAAAGAGGACCTGGCACAGCGTGGCACAATTGGCGCAGTTTCAAAGGTGGTTGATCGTGGTTGCAGCATGTTGCAGCATGTTGCACCGCAGGATAATGGAAATGCCGTCAAGATCTTGGAGAAGTTGGGTGTTGACCCATCTAAGATGCCAGATGAGATTATCAAGGACTCAGTGGAATTTTCAAGGGGTTCCTCCAAAAGTAAGGCAGTTTGCTCATTACTTGTTGTGGGCAGATTCTCAGAAACATCATGTCAAGATATGTCAAGCATGTGTAGTCAGACTGTGTTGGGAGATTGCGAGCCAGAGCTTTAGAATGGAATGTTGAATTCGCTTCTCACAAACACTGCTCGCCTTCAGCTTCTGTTGAACTCTTTGAGAGGGCGATGGAGAGAAAGACAAACACACACGCGAATTGTCTCTACATGTCTGAACCAAAGACAACCAATAAATCAACCAGCTGCAGCTTGTCTCCGTTTCGCCATTTTCTCTTCCAAGTTACAAAATATATTTATAATATCTACATGTTTTCCAGCATCCCTAAAACATCCCAGGTGTGCCCCACGCAAGGAGCTTCAGGAGAAGGACGAGCGCAGCTTGGTCGGAGTGACTTCGCGCGGTGGTGGCAGCGGTAAGACGGTGACCCTGGAGGAGTTCGGCAACGACCTCACCAAGGTGTGGACGGTCGGGTATGGTCGGGTTGGGATGGAGGATCTCGGATGTGGATAAACGCTGCAGAAATGATGAAACAATATGAAACATGATGACAATGATGACAATGATGACCATGATGCTAAAATCTGTCTAGGAGAATGGGATTCTCATGTTTTAAGGATTGTTTGGTATGCCACATTATTGATGCCACTCGAGCTTTTTGGCAATGGATACGGAACCACATTTTCAGGCCGCAGAGGAAGGAAAGATGGATCCTCTCGTCGGTCGTGCTGCTGAGCTGGAGCGAACCATCCAGATTTTGGCACGTCGTCAAAAGAACAACCCGGCACCTTGGGCTGAGATTAGTACCAATATGTACGGATTAGTATAGATATATAAACTATATTAGACTAATTATCAAAGCTGCAAGTCATTGACATGTTTTTATGTTCAGTCCCGGTCCCGGAGTCCCGGAGTTTGGAATTTAGATTAAATTAGATATCGCAAATTTGTTCATATGTGTTTGTGAGGTGTTTTTACCAATGTTGGGTTTTGACTGGGTTGGGCGCTGGGCCATGACGAGAGCTTGTATTTTCACAGCATGTCCATGCATGTCCTTGGAAGTTATTCTTTCTGAATCTCTCTATCTAATTGGATGCCTGTTCAAAATGGATGCCGGAGCAGGTGCTCATTGGAGAGCCAGGAGTTGGCAAGACAGCGATTGCCGAAGGTTTGGCACAGAAGATTGTCGCCGGTGATGTTCCTGAACTCTTGCAAGGCTGTGGTCGACTCCGACCAGTGTCGACATGTGTCGACCAATATATTTTTCTTCACCGTTCATCGCTTGGCTTGGTGCGGAGAAGAAACGCATCGGTGTGGCATGCTGTTCTTTTTTATTCCAGATGCGTGAGGTATTTACAATATTTACTGATATTATTTGATATTGTACGTGATTCAATGTATCACGAGTAGGATTGAGTAACTTGAAAGAATCTTGGAGATCTTTGTAGGAAGACGGTCGGTGGCATTGCGGCCCGGAGGCAAGCGCATTGTGCAGCTGGATTTGGCCATGTTGTTGGCTGGAACCCGCTACCGTGGTGAATTTGAGGAGCGTTTGAAGAACGTTTGGGAGCTCAAACTGGGTTGGATAGGCAGCTGAATAGCAGCTCTGAAGCCATTTGAAATCAAGGTGAGGTAAGTGCAACATAGTGCAACTGGTCTGAACATGTCTGAGCTGAGGTTATCAAGGAGGTCCTCGACTCCAAAAAGCAGATCATTTTGATGATTGCATCCTGGCCTGTAACAGATTTTTCACAATTTCGCCAAATACATGTGCCCAAACCATCCGAAATCATCCAACATCTATCAAACATTCATCAAACTACCTGCAATGGATCCAGCTGTCCTTCATCCACTCAGGACGAGATCCACACCATCGTTGGTGCGGGTGGTACAGGTGATGGTGGTGGTGCCATTGATGCTGGAAATATCATGAAGCCGGCGCTGTCGCGTGGCGAGTTGCAGGCGATACCGGGTGCCGGCTGTATCCACATGAGCAACGATCTGCAGAACGATGTCATATCATTTTATTTTAATTCATTTCATAATTTTCATATAGGTTCAACATGGTTCAACATAGAGAATGTAAATATGGTATGACTCGGTATGACATGTGACATTGCGACATATTGAAACAAAATTGCTAGATGTAAGATGTACCGTACCTTAGATGTTGTTGTATGTTGGATGGATTTGGTTGTGTATTTTTCCGCCAGTCTACAATCCAAAGTGCAGACTTCCCTGCAGCTGTGTCTAGTGCAAATCTGATTGGCAGGTCATTGGCGCCACTACCATTGAGGAGTACAGGAAGTACATCGAGAAGGACAAGGTCCACTTACAATCAATCTTTCCAATCGCCAATCATGTTGCAATCAGGTTGAACATGTTATTTCTATCAACATAAGAAAATTAAATAACATGATTATAACATATTCATGATTCTTCATCCAACACAATGATACTTTGCCAATGTTGCTTCCTTTTGGGGCAGGCTTTTTCCCATTACGTGCCTGCCTGGAGGCCCTGGAAAGACGCTTCCAGCCAGTGAACGTGCCTGAGCCAACCAATGAAGAGACGCTCACCATCCTTCAAGGCTTGGCCAAGAAGTACGAGGACACCGGACGGCCCTTTTTGGGAAGTATTCAGCATTCCGAACACTGGTTTAATTTATAGATATTTATAGGTATTTATAGATATTTATAGGTATTTATAGCATACCAGAATTGGTGTCAAGATGTTTCAAGGCAACTTTTCAGGAGACCAGAAAAGACGGTCTCTTTTTACATCGTTGGATTTCCCCGGAATCAATCCATTTATTGAAGGAATCCACTGGGTACCTTGGGCCAGGAGCACCACAAGCTGAAGTACACCGATGAAGCTCTGGCTGCTTGTGTGAAATTTGCCTCGCAGTACATCCAAGACCGATTCCTGCCAGACAAGGTGCGGGAGATTTGGCTGATCATTAACACCTATAGTGTAGGAACTCCCAGCACAACGCGATGGTAGACCAATTCAATGGCTGATCCTGATGCTTTCCTGCTGGCTTTTGGTCAGGCCATTGACGTCCTGGATGAGACCGGTGCGCGCGTGCGTTTGCGCGAATCTTCCATTCTGCCGGAGGAGGCGAAGGAGGCACAGCAGAAACTCAAGGAGGTCATGGGCCAGAAGGACTGCATGGATTGCCGTTGTTGGCTGGATGGTGCCTGGGGATGGGGTTGATGTTTTTTTGGTTGAGTTCCTATGATGTCCTTTTTTCTGTTCGGTTCAAGAAGAGCACGTCTTCCAAAGTGTGCGATCAGACCAGACCGTTTTCTTTCAGAACAGCCTCAAAGAAGCGTTGAGAATTGCACACCTTGCTTGCAGGAAGAGGCTGTCAGAAACCAAAACTACGAGCTGGCTGGTGAGTTGAAGACAGAGGACTTCGGAAACCATTCCTTTGTTTGATTCAGTTCACTTACAAATCTCTCCCAAGCTTTGTATCCTCAACTTTCATGATGTGCTGGCCCTATGATCCAATATGATCCATGGTCCTATATGATCCCCTCTGGTCATGATGCACAGAGCTTGCAGCCTGGTGGAGACTCCGACAGGTAGTTGCATCTGATTGACAGGAAGCCAATTTGCGAACCAAGATCAAGAGCATCATCAGTGAGTCCAAGGCCGCCATTGTTGATGAAGATGAGGAAGAGGCCTCCATTGCTTGACGGTTTAGATTGCAGAGTGCATCCTTCCATGCTCCCAAGGGCTGCTGCCATGGAGAACATCGAAATAATACGTCGAATAGCCTGGGGTCATCCTCGCTTGGTTTCGAACGGTTACGACCCATTCACATTTGACTTCAAGTCCATACATTTGATATTTCAGCATTCACCAAAATAAAATATGTTTACAGTAAGGGGGAATGGCGGGAAAACACAACCATTTTTCAGAGTCATGGTTTCCTGTTAATTTTCCATTCAACCAATCCATTTCAGCCTCCAGCCTCCATTAATTTGCCCTACTGCAGGATGAGTCAGACGAAAAGCCTCGAAAGCAGATCTTGGTCACTGAGGTGCCACCCAAGGAGTCCTGCCACCCTGAAAGTTTAAATTAACCTTTGACATCCTTTGATTATGATTCAATGACAATGAAAAATATTATAACAATTTATAACATTGATGGTGCTGGTCATAGCTGGTATTAGCGGATCTAAGGCAGATGTGGCTGCAGTGGTCTCCAAGTGGACCGGAGTTCCAGTGGAAAAGGCTGGGAACGTCGTGTTTGGAAAGACATGGCGGGATGAGGGTGATGGAAGGTGTCCTTAGGTGTCCCTATGTTGATTTGAGTCTTTCCTGCGAAGGTGCAGCAGTGACTTCTCAGTGGCTCAGTCTTGAAGCTCTGGTGAAACATGTCAAACTTTGGCTCAAGTGTACCCCGGTGTGGTGCGCAAAGTCATGGTAAAAGTCAAGAAGTCATCCCTCAAGAAAGGCTCTGAGTTGAGAGCAGCCGTTCCATCACCAAAGCCGTCAGTGGAAGCAGCTTCGGCCAACCCCTCCAAGAAGCTAAAGAAAAAGGGCGCTAAAGTTGCAGAAGTGAAAGGCAAAGTCGGAAAAGTGGAGAAACCCTCCGCTGGTTTGGCACTCGGAGATTCAGAGGCTGGAAAGGTGGACAAAGCTCAACTTGCAGCTCAAGCCACTGAAGAGATTCTCCGCGGCATTGCCAAACCGGACTCGCAGAAGATCAGTGCTTTTGTCCTCGCAGATTGGCACTTGAAGTACAAGGATGTGCTGGGTTCATATAAAAAGTTTGTGAAGGCATCCGACAAATTACAAGTTGTGGAGCGTGAGGACGGCAATTACATCATTCAAAAGGCTGGAGATACTTCGGTGCCGCCTCCACCAGAGGCCAAAGAACCCAAGACAAAGGATTGGAAGCAGCTGCTTCTGAACGCCTGGAATATCTATCATCAAGCAACACCTAAACAGGCAGGGTTGACAAATCATTCCGATCACTTCCTGTTTAAACGAGGCCACTCGAAAATCATTACTGATATTTACTGATATTCCTGCAATATCCTTCAATAGTCAATAGTGTTGTGCAAGATGTGGCATCAGGTGTTTGTTTCCGCCCAAATCATTGAATATTTCATAATGTTTCAGCCTTGCAGGCCATTGTCTAACTGTGCCATCCACCGCTGGCAGGAACTGAACTTGGAAGTCTTCATCAGCGCCCTGCCCAAAGGTGTGCGACAGGTGAAGCCCGATGAAGCTGCAGAGAAGCCAGAAGTCAAGGAACCCAAGGCCGCCAAGGCCAAGAAAGAGGTGGTCCCAACACCGGCACCTGAAGCGGAGGTGACCGAGACGAAGGACAAGAAACTGGTGAAAAAGATCAAAACGGCAAAAAAGAAGGTCAAAGGATAGATTTGAGAATTTGCCATGCTTTGGCAATATGTTTGACATTGTTTGACTATATAGGTTTGAAGCCAGTTCATCTTTTTGCTGGGAGATGTGGGCACGAAATGGCACGAAGGGCGATGAAGCGTTGCACAAGGTTTGAGTTGAACATCGGCATCCAGCCTTTCACTTTGAACGGATTCTGAAGGAATTCTTGGCGCAGATTTGCAGATGCGGCTTGTGCTGAGCTCTCCCGGAAAAAAAAGTCACTACTAGCGCTAGCGTTAAGTCGTATCAGCTCGTAAAAGTCGTATCGGGAGGCCGTGCGCCTGGAAAAAGTTCAATTTTGGCATCACCACAACTTTTAGTAATTGAACGATTTCTTCGTTTTGGGGCCGTGGGGCTGGAAAAAGTTCTTTTTTTTTTATTGCGTGGATTTTTTAAAAATATATTTGATCATTCTTTCAAGGGGGCAAACGCTGGTTGCTGCTTGCCTGCTGCTTGCCCGCTGCTTGCCTGCTGCTTGCCTGCTGCTTCCCTGGTGCTTGCCTGCTACTTGCTGCTGCTTACCTGTTGCTGCTTACCTGTTGCTGCTCACCTGCTGCTCACCTGCTGCTCACCTGCTGCTTGCCTGCTGCTCCACGACATTGATGCACATCGCGCCAGCCATAGATTTGGTTGCGAAAAACAAAGGACCCCCATATCCTTATATCATCCTAGATCATAGCCCTGCCAATAGGATTTGCTACAGCTAACCCACTTGCATTGCAAGAAATTTGAGGCTGTACCAATAGGGGTTTGATTTGGTCACGCGACGCAGGACATCAATATAATATATTCAAATCCAATAGGATTAGCTGCCGAGAATTTGTTTGTATTAACTTGTGCCCTTCAAAATCATCGCTGTGCGCAATGCTTCGGCTACTTTTAACTACATCTCCAAGTATGGATGAAACAGGCTGTGCCATGGTGATTCTTCTTCCCTGATGTGACTTTCCACTACCTGATGTGACTTCTCCGTATCGCCGCCGTGCCATGGGGATGATGTGACTTTTCCCGCCTGATGTGACTTAAGTACGGTGCTTGTAGGGGAAACACTTGGCACTCTTGTTTCAGTCGTGATGTCGGCCCGATGGCCAAGCCAAGTCACATGGATGACAAGCCTGGTGCCCATTTGGCCAGGTTTCCTCTGACGAAGGAGCGCGCCTGGTGAAGTTGGAGGAGGTGCACAGGGCATACTGAAGCGAGTTGCAATGTGTTTCTCTGTTGGTGATTGGAAAAGATTGGAAAAGGCTTGGCTTTTCGGGGTGGGAAGGGTGTGGTTCTTCAGGGGTGCCGTTTTTCCGGCTTTGTTGTTGTCGGGTGAGGAAGATCAGCCTGAACTTGGTAGACCTTGGTGGGTTCCTGCTGTGAGGTTTTCCATGCAAGCTCCGCGGCTTTTGATTTCTCAAGGCCGAATATTGGCCCAGGGATTTACCATTCCGCTTCCCACGCCCAAGGAAGTCCTGTGATGTTTGATGGGCTTTCTTGGTGTGCAGGTTTAGTGAAGAACAACTTCACAGGGGACTGCCATACCAGCAATGACGCGGAGAGCATAGAGATCCCAGGGACTATCCCGGTGAAGATCGAAGATGTTGGCATTTCGTTTGAAGTGAAACCTGCTAGTAGCACTCATAGTGGCAGCAGGGCAAGTGCCAGCAGACTGGAGGGTTGTCTTGAATCCTTCAGTGAGTTTGAAAGAGTAGAGTCTGAAGCCATATCCTTAATGAGGACTGAGCTAAGCCAGCAGTCCGTCCTAGTGGATGTCGAGGAGTTGCTTCACAAGAAGCCTTTGTGTAGCACCAGTCACTGTCAGATCTCCACAGTACAGTGGCGTGGGCAAACTGTGGCTATGAAAGAATTGATCCTTGGTTGTGCTTTCAGATTGCATTTTGAAAATCAGGTGCTATATGACCATGAAAGAGATGTGACATCAATGGTTTATTTCTACCCACTGTTCAATATAGAACACCATGTAAGACGAGAAGATACTAGAAACAGGCTGAAACTCCTCAACATGAACCATGAAACTCCTCAACATTAACCATTGACTTTCTGGTCTTGACATGTCTTGACAAGCACCGGTCGGACCGATGTTCCCAGGAAGATCAATCCTGAAGACGCTGAACGCCACCTGCATTCCACGAGGGATTTGTTGCAGGAGATTCACATCATGCGCCAGATCAACCATCCGTGCTTGGTGAAGCTGGTGGGAGCAAACTTGGACATCACCAAGCACCAGCCCTTCCTTTTGACCGAGTTCCTGGAGCATAAGGATGTTGAGACACTCGTCCAGGGATCTATAAAATTCTATAAGGTCTTTGAACACTGCGCCTTTATGTTCATTTATTTTCATTTATTTTCTACATTTTCTACCTTGGGGTTGTGTCATCTTGTGTCGTTTGTGGTTTGGTTGTGGTGCGTTTTGCACGGTTTGGGTCTGGGTTCTTTGCGGCTTTGATTTCACTGCATTTTCCAGACTGTTGGTCCCGAAAAGGTAGAAAACAGCTCGCCTCCCAAGACAGCGCAGGGAAATGTAGCAGTGTCGAGTCACGTGAAGCATGTGTCACTTAAATTTTACAATAATTTACCCTCTGGTGAACTAACATAGCAATGGAAAATGGCTATTTATAGTGGATTTTCCCATTAAAAATGGTGATTTTCCATTGCTATGTTAGTTCACCAGAGGGTAACTTGTGATTTTCCTTGTTTGACTAAGAAGCTACATGCGGCAGCAACGCGAAGTCTCGGTGGAGGGCGTCTACCGGCCGCGCTTTGGATTGGCCATGCGTTGGGCCATCTCTACTGGCCGGGCACTGGCCTATCTACATGGCCTGAAACATCCAATCATCCACAGAGATGTTAAGCCTTTGAACTTGTTCCTCAACCAGGACTTGGAGGCTGGAAGCCAGATTCGGGGTGAACTTCTATCAGAGCAATTTCAGCAGCACTTTAATGTGGATACCTGGATACCCTTCACTCAACTGTCAGTTAATGGAAAACGACCAATTTGTAGATCATTTACCTTCTTAAATCCTATCATATGCATATAACTTGTTCATCTTGTATATATAATATAATATATAATATATAATATACATAATAATCATGAAGCATGGTGATGATTCCTGTGTCTGTTCATGGCTATGTCCTGCAGAGAAAATTCGTCGCCTCATGAGGTGAAGCTTGGAGACTTTGGCCTTTGCAAAGTCATGCCCTGGAGGCCATGGTCACCACAGGGTGACAGCTTGATGTTATATAGGTCCTATAGGTTAAGTTATATGTATATAGCCTGTATAGTAATATATATATAATGTTATATAATAATATAACAATATATTATGGACATTGTATTGCTATACAATATCCATTTTAGATATGTTCCTAATACATGAGATACACACTCATGTGTGTGTGTGTGTGTGGTGTATAGTATATCTATATAATTATATATATATATGTATAATAAAGTAAAGGCTAGCTACTAGTGGTCCATCAGCAGGCAGCAACCTGAATTTTGGCAGCATGACCAGCATTTGATGTGAAGGCATAGCACCAGCCCATCCCCAGCACCGAAGATGACTGGATTGGTGGGCACCTGGCGGTATATGGCACCAGAGGTCGTGAGGCGTTCTCAGTACAACGAGAAAGTGGACATCTACTCCTTCAGTTTGATTTTGTACCTGATTTTCTCAGGCCGGCAGCGGCTAGGCTGCAGATGAAAATGATTATTTGTAGGAAGGCACCTGTGGGATGTCCAGGTTGAAGTATCCTGATGAAAGATCCTTCGATAATAGGTAGGTATGGTCCATGTTTACCTCAAAACAATAATGCCATGGTGGCCTTGAGGTTGTGTGATTTTGAGACATCGTTTGCCACCAAGGCCCTGGTATGCTTGGGGCAATGACGGGGAAGCCATTTTGAAGGCCTACGTCGAAGGTTGGGAGACCGGGATATCCGGGGGACATTTCGATCGTTGCCAAGATGTTGATCAAATCAAATCCCATGCCCATTTCGGGTCTACACCAAAGATATCCAAAGATTGCAGAGTTGAACATCAAGTCATAGCGTTAAGGATTATCGGGATTATCCATCATGATGCCATGATGCCCCAGAAAGTCATAAACCATCATATATACCTATCATAATTAATTAAACAAATCAAGCAAAGTTGAAACACCCAGGGTCTCCGCGGGTCTCCCACGAGGCAAAGAACCTCGACCATCTCTTGACTCCGTGGGAAGTTGTGAGCTGCAGGGCTTTTTACCAAAGCTTTGGCACAGAGATGCAGATCAACGACCTTCGGCAGAGCAATGTGTGGAACGGCTTTCACTGATGAAACCGCCTGGTCTGAAGCTCGGATACGCACTAAGCTTGGCAGCATGTTGGACTTTTGTCGCTTTTGCTCCTGTCCAAGGGGTAAACATACAGAGACAATCAATAAAACATGAAGCACATAGTTCCCCACTAAGTCGTTTATGACATGATGGATTTTCATAGATTTTCTAGCTGATAGGTGCAGGGTATAGTTCTGCTAGATGAAACTGCCAGGATTTGCCAACTTGCCAACTTCCAACGTCAGGAGGGACACCATGCGACTCTGCACTCCCTGGACTAAGCGCTTCAGTTGGCGCCAGTGAGCCAATGCCGCGATTGGTTTGAGTGGAATTCGACGCCGGCTCAGCATGCATCAGAATTGGGTTTGTTGTAGATCAATGCAGAAATGATAATGACATGTGTTTTATAGATAATGACAATGATTTATACTGATTATACTGTATGTGTTTAATTTATGTTATATTATATTATATTATATATTATATTATATTATATTATGTTATTTAAATTATGTTATACCTATAAGTAATATATCATTTGCTTCGGATGTTTGAAACATGTTTGTTGATGGGGGTTACCAGGTTGATGTCGTAGCCATATTATGTTTATGTTGCAGAATTGAATCAATAGCTAGTTACAGCTTCCAAGAACCCCATGCTTCGGATGCATGTTGCAAACAACTGCGACTGGCAAATGCGAAGGAAATTTGAAGATTTGCACGCCTCCAATGCACAGCATAAGAAGGTTTTGGCAACCACTGCCTTCCGTAGCTTCTTGTGCGACACCTGGTACTGTATACAGGGATAGGTGTGGCCAACTGCTTGCACAGCGACGTGTTGCATGCTGTGGGATTTGACAGCAGACGGCATTGATTGATGAAGACGGTTTCTGTTTAAAGGCTTCGTCCTTTGAAGTATTTAATGCCAGGGGAAAAGCCTGCCTATGTGTTCGTCCGTCCTGAAAGGGTAATCAATAGATAGAATAGACCTGAGTGTGGCCTGAGGCGCTTCTTTCCTCTGACTGCCAGAGAATGTCTGGAAATGTCAAACTCATCAAGGGCAGCAGCCAGGGTGAGACAGGCAAGAAAAAAAAACGCGGTTCGACACTTGGAGTTGCTGGCATGCGAGAAGCTGCAAGTTTTTCAGCATGTTGTGGCCATCTGGCCACCATTTGAGATCAGGGAGGATCTCAGCTGCAGCGGGGAAACAAGATATTGATACTTTGAATCTGTGCACACTAACCGTCACCAACCACAGGAAGTCAAGTCGGGTGATTTTTTGTCTTCCAAAAAATCTTGAAAACATAGGTCCCCCATGGGTCTCAAACCCATTTATCCATTGGTTATGGCCCGGTTATGGCAGGTGCTCCACGGCCGCGTCATTGGCCAGAACGAGGCGGTGACCGCAGTGGCCAAGGCGGTGCGACGTGCCAGGGCTGGGTTGAAACCTGACAGCACGGCGGGGGAAAAACAACATCTGGTTATGACTAACATAGCCATGGAAAATCACCATGTTCAATAGGTAAACCATCTATTATAAATGGGTGATTTTCCATGGCTATGTTAAATAACCAGAGGGTAACATGATGTAACACTCTGGTAATTTAACAGTTTGCTATTGAAAATGGCCATAGAAATAGTGGATTTACCCATGAAAAATGGTGATTTTCCATAGTTATGTTAAATTACCAGAGGGTAACACACATATATATATATGTGTAATATATATATATATTATACTGGGTAAATTATATACTGAAAGAAAGACCTCACTGCGACTGAAGCCTGGAATCATAGTTAATGAGGGAAATCATCCCAAAATGGCCTTAATTCAGGTTAGTGAAATATTATGATTTACCCAGATAGGCAATCAAAGCAGCCATGAACTGCTGAATGTCGCAAATTTTTGTGACCATAAATTTGCAATTATAGATGATTTACAAAGCAGTACTTCTTAGGAATCTCTAGGAATAAAATAGGTTTGGGCATAATTGAGGAAAAATCGGAATTATCGGTTCTAACATCCTCTAACCTTACAGCTGTCATAACTGAGGTGTCCAATCGAATGATTTGTTGCTTTCAATGCTCAACATGGCATGATGATCCTACGTGACTTTAATCGTTTGTGAGATTTGTTTGCCAACCAGTGGTATTGGGAATGAACCCATGTCAATTGCATTGAATCCAGCCATTTGATCCTTTTCCCATCTTTCCACCGTTGTTCAGGGTTGATCTGTGGTAGGCTAGATTAGGCTAGTATGTTGATGGTTTGGTTTCCATGTTGGATTTGTGGGCAAGCCTGGTGGACGTGTTTGTGCATCAAGGAAGAACCCAAATCGGCCCATTGCCTCCTTCATTTTCTGCGGACCAACAGGCGGGAGCGTGTTGGAACACCTTGTTTATCTGAGAGTTTTGTGTCACAAGTTGTGTCGTTCATGGTCCTCCTAGGCGTGGGCAAGACAGAACTTTGTAAAGCTTTGGCCGCAGCCTACTTTGGCAAGGAGGTGCGTCCGGGAAGGGGAAAGAACTTAGCCGGCTTTGGGAACCAGTGGTAACATGTAATTTGGTGTTTCATTCAAATTCCTTACAGTGACTGGCCCCGAAATTTATCAAGTTGAAACTTTAAGTAGCAACCGGATGCGTTCAAGAAAGACGGTCCTAGAAGCTCAAGTCACATCCCTGAAGAGCGAGGACAAATGCTGAAACATGCTGAAACCACAGTCAAACAAGGGGCCAATACCCGGGGCAAGGGTTATTTGATGCAATTTGCCACTTGTCGCCGCCTATATGGAGTGAAACAAAATGAAATAGCCCAGGTTTTTCTAGGCCCATCGGGTCAGGGTGCTAACAGGTGCCTCCTTCAACTGCCACGCCACGTTTCAGGAAGCCATGATCCGATTGGATATGTCCGAGTTCATGGAGCGACACACCGTGTCCAAGCTGATTGGAAGCCCTCCCGGCTACGTCGGCTATGACGAGGAGAGCCAGTTGACGGATGGCATCCGCAGAAAGCCCTACAGCTGCGCTGCCGCATTGGAGACGTTCCCAGGAAATCCCAGGAACACGGTCTTGGGATGTTTTGCGATTGAAGATTTGCAAGGCATACCCGGCATAGCAGCTAAATGTCACAAGCTGCCACTACCAAGTAGTATGAATACGATAATTGTATATAATATTGTATACTTCGGCATGTGTTTGTCATTCATTGTCAATGTATGTCAATTGAATATCAGAGTCACAAGTTATTTGTGGATTTTGTGGCACAACTTTTGGCTGCCTGAACTTTCGAACGCCAAGGTTTGGTGCTCTTCGATGAGGTGGAGAAAGCACACCCTGATGTCTTCAACCTTATGCTCCAGATCTTGGAGGCAGGGCTCAGAGCCAATATTCAACTCCTGACATCCCACAGATGATGCAATTGATATGCTATGTTGATGTATGTTGCCATTCTGAGTGATATATATACGCACGAAGATACATATATTATGTGAATGCATGAATATAGTATATAATCATGTATTTTAGGATCCCCGCATCGCTTATGGACTCTGTGCGTCAGGATGGACGGCTCACAGACTCGAAGGGCCGAGTGGTCTCCTTCAAGAACGCGCTGATTATCATGTGGCTTGGCAGCGTTGGTTGCAGGCAATTTATGTCATATGTCCATATTTGAGCATATTTGAATATATTTGAGCTATACGTGCTGCTGTAGATACCTGTAGATAATGTAAATGTGAGTCATGTGAGATATGCATTTTTTGAAAACTGCTCTTTCTTACTATGTTCCTACATGTGTGACTTAATTTTATTTACTATGTTTACATATATATCTAAATCTAAATCTATATAAACTATATTCTATTGTATTCTCTCACTAGGTTTGTTTGCTCTCATAAGCCCTTAAAAGAAAAGCGCCGCAGCGAGGACTTCCAACGTGGGCGCGAAGGCCATCGAGAAGGGTATCCAGGGCGGAGGTGGCATTGGCTTCTCCGGCCTCGAGGATGGTGAGGACGCGGAGACCTCCAGCTACAAACGCCTCAAGACGCTGGTGTTTGATGAGCATCTCAGCGAAGTTTCCAGGGGAGATGAAGAATTATAGGAATGAACAAAAGACAAGACTTGGATAGGAATGTAAGGGAAATGTAAGGGAAATCAGTGAAATCGCACATGATTTTCATTAGCCAACAACTTGATATTCGGATGTCCTGAGAACGGGGCTTTCCAGCATTCTCCAACAAAAACTTGCCATTTCAAGGGAATAATTACAGCCCGTATGAATTTATCAGTAGACCTCGGGATACACAGCACAATTTTGGACATTTTGGACAAACCAATGTATCAAGAATGGAACAGGAATGGCTATGCGGCTATACAATATGGACATATATGGACAGAGGGTCATTTTGGCGGCTCGTGAGGCTCAAGAACTTCTTCAAACCAGAGTTCCTGAATCGATTGGATGAGGTCGGTGGATGTCGGAGGGGTGGAATGCTAAGGAACCACCGGTGATTCGCTACCGTCAAGCAACTCTAGTAACGTTAGTAACTGCAGTGCTGTTGATGGTGCTGATGGAATCCTAGGCCTATGGATGCCTATGGCATTCCTAAGACAAAGGCTATCCAGAGTGTCATAGGGGGTGGCCCAGGGACACACCAAGAATATTCAGATAAGTATCACAGATATACAACAGTCCTGGACTCGGATGAGGATGTCCGAACTTTCTGCATTCACATTTGCAAGTTTTTTCAGGCCTTTAATAGTAACACTTTGTCAATTTAGGAACATTGTTCAAGCAGAAGCCTTTTGGGGGTACCTTTTGAGGCACTGAAAAATCCACAAGCCGACGAGTTTACGATGTTCTCAGGTGATTGTCTTCAGATCACTCACCAAGCCAGAAGTGAGTCAGATCGCGGAGCTGGAGTGGCTCTTGATAAATTTTGGAATGGGAGGATATGGGCAGAATTTTTGCAGGAATCATACGAGCATAAATAGATATAAATAGCATAAATAGACACATAAAGTGTCACAAATGTAAATGAGAATAATTGCAATAGTCAATTGAAGACGTTCTTTCAGAATTAAATCATATTGTTGGCGCATGGTGTGGCCCAGGGAGTGGCAAATTTTCCCATTTGCAAATGCCCAGGTTCAAGAAGACCTTCAGCCGTACCAAGGAGAGAGGCGTCTCGAGGGCGACCAGTGAGGTTTATGGTGCCATATGGTGCCTATGTATAGCACATCATTTGTCATTCGATATCATTCGCGTATATTCAAGGCAAAGGCTTAAGGCAGTTTTAAATCATGTCAAAGCATTTTAATGTTGATATTAATGTTTATATGTAGCTTGAGAACTCAGAATTACTATTGCTACGTATTGCTACATGTAATGTTTGTTTTGTTGTGCGACCTTTTAATGTTTGCGCTGTCCGACGGCTGCAAAAACCTGGAGTGTGACGGGGCATCCCGACAGGCATCCACCTGCGGATGACCGACAAGTTCAAGCAAAAGGTGCCTTCCTTTTTTGACTGGCGACATTATGCTACATTGCCACATATTGCCACTTCCAAAGAACATCAAAGAACTATCACAACTTGTGCCAATGAATGTCAATGAATGTCAATGACCACCTTTCGGGACCATAGTATGCCATTGTTGTTATTTGATGACTGTTTTAAGCAATCAGTGACAGAATGGCCCCGAATGTGAATCGCCACATCCCCGTGCGGAGGTCGTAGATGAGGGCTTTAACCCCACCTACGGCGCGCGGCCCTTGCGGCGGGCAATCATGCGATTGGTGGAAGATGAGTTGGCGGAGTCGTTTTTAAAGGACAGCGACCAAAAGTGGTCAGATAGTGGTCAGTTGGAGGGCACGTACCCTCCAATCATTGGATAGATATTGGATTAATTTCAAAGGAAAAATCCGAAAATTGGAGAAGACCCTAGTATTTGATGGGGAAACCCCTGCATCCTAATGATCCAAGGATTTGAACGTGTGGAAAACTGTAGAACTCATCAAGTCCATGAGAGGAACTGAGTTTTTCGATGGTTTTCATGTTTAGTGTTGGCAGATGTCGAGTGGGCGCATAGCATGACAGGGAGTGGTTTTATGAAATTTGAAGGGGGGTTGGTGACAAGGAGCCCACTAGAGAGGGCGAGCATATCCTGATGGATGTGAATGCAGACGGAAACGCGTGGACCTAAGACTCCATTCACAGGTCCAAACGAATTACAACCCTGGAATTCTTTGAATGGGCATTTGTTTCTACCAAATTTCACATCGAAATAACCGCAGATTGAAGCACTGCTTGCCCCTCAGGTCTTGATTCTTCGAGACCAGCCTGCTCCGGAGGGCGAAGCCGAGGGTGAGGAGATGTTGAGCGTGCATTGTGTTGTAAATGTATGTAAATGTTGTACCCTCATCACGAAGACTAAAAGATTTCAGATACAGTAGCAAGTAGTAATACCATGTAATACCTGCCTTTACCTGTCTTTTTTTATGCGCAGGCATACCATGGCATACCTTTGAAATCTTTTCGCCGGGCAGATCCATTGGACCAGGAGATGAAAGTGGTAGAGACGACAGCCGCCTAAATGACAGCAACCTCGAGTTTTGACCTGTACTGTTAATGGGAGCCGTGCATCTAGACCAAGTGCGCGTGTGGAAAAATGTCATTGAAGATGGAACTGTCCCTGAGTTCAGGATTTGTGTTTGTGAAGCGATGCAATGACTAAGAATTCTCAGGCATATATACTGTATATAAGGGTATGTTTGACCCTACTTTTGGTACTTATTTGGAACATGACCCATTGTAAGGCAATATGACTACGGGATCCTATGCAAGTCCCATGCATTTTTGCGACACGAAATGCACCTGAAGGAAACACTGTGGCTCAAACTATCTCGCAGAGACAGGACTGGATGAATGAACTCTTTGGGGTGCCCAGTCAGATCAGTCAGTGAGTGTCACATGGTCGTGGTCCATTCATGGTCCATCCATGGTATTCTGCTTCCGACGGAGCCACGGCCGGTGCCGCTGGGGAGCACGGCGAAGCTGCCAGCGAAAGGTAGGGTGATTTTTTTCAGGGAATGGTGACGTCTCAAGGTGCTTAAAACATGCTTTAAAGTCTTAAAACATGCATCCCCGAAGCTGCACGAAGAGCAGGCGTTTTGTTTTGGCAGATCCCAGTGTGCGGGTCGAACTTGTTTGGGCACGACTCCCGGGATTAACTATAGACATTGAATTTACAATGTGTGTGTGTGATTGTGTGTGTGTGTCACTTTTCACTTCAAGGCTGAACCAAGCCTAATCGCCTTGGTTAGATAGCCTGTACACCATGGGTGCCGTGTGCAGCGAAATTGCCAAAGCTGAGCCCCTCAGAGATGAGATGCAACCAAGTCCGCACAAAGCAACTGATGGCTGTCAATTGAGAGATGCCCCTGCGGAACTCTCATCCGGGCCAGTGGCTTTGTGTAGCTTGAGCGATTCTCTCGGGGATGCCAATGTTTTGAGTGCAGTGAGTACCCAAATCGGTCTGGATTCCAAAGATGATTTTTCCGAGCAGAGCTTTGCATCGATCTCCAGAAACCTCAGAGACCTGTCCTTGCTGGTGGACCCCAAGGAAGTCATTGTAAAGAAGGAACTTTGTACCACCTGCAAGAGCACAGTGTCCATTGCAAGCTGGAAAGGCAACTTGATTGCGGCAAAACAGCTGAAGGTGGATCTTGAGGAAGACTGGGAGAGCAAAGAGAACACCATGAAGGAATTGATGAATGAAATTACCATCCTCAGTGAGATCAGTCATCCCTGCTTGGTCAAGCTTCTTGGGGCCAACCTGGATTCAGCCGAGCCGCTTATTCTCACTGAGCTGCTTGAGAATCAAGATGTGGAGACACTTGAATGCAACATCAAGCCACAATTTTCAGGGAAGTCTTGATTGAAACAGTCCAGAAACATCCTGAAATCTAAAGCATGCAATGCATTGGAATGCTGTCGAACTCATTTCGCAGTTGTTGCTGATGCACAAACATGGCAATAGTTGGCTATGCAGTGGTATGATGCGTACAATAATTACTACTCTTCGATGTAATGCTATGTGAGCGGCTCTTTTAGTGAGATCCTTCTAGAAGGTTTGTTCAAAGGCTAAGCTGAAAGGTCAAGCACAGTCATAGTCCCAGATGCAGTGTGGCAATAGTCTATGTATGTCTATGAAAGTATTTAATTTAATTTCAGATGGAGTGCATGCGTCGTGTCCAATTTCATTTAAGATCAGCTTCTCAGTGAAATCATCCCCTTCAAACATCTTTGAACTGCCGGAGATCTTGCTGCAAGGACCTACATGCTCAAGCAGAGGACTTCCTCCGTCGAGGGTGTCTTCAAGCCGCATTTCAGCTTGGCAATGCGTTGGGCTTTGAATACTTGTGAGGCATTGGCGTATTTGCATGGCCTGTCACATCCCATCATCCACCGCGACCTCAAGCCGTTGAACATGTTTCTCACAAGGAGTTTGGAGGTCGCTTGAGCGGTTTGGATGATTCAATATGATTCAGATGATTCATGTATGCACTTCGGGTTGCCATTCCATGTTTGGGTAGAGGAATTGGATGGAATTGGTCACTGGGTGGATGTGGGTGGGCAGGGACATGTCGAATGCATGCATACACATGTGTGACGACAACACCTGGATTTCAAAGAAGCCATGCCGATAAAGCAGCAGTCCACAAGTGTGAACGCCCCCCCTCATTCTAAAACTGCGTGGGCAGCCTTCAAGAAGAAGAGCTATCCAATCTTTGGATATTTATGGTTTGTTGTGGCCCTAGAGGCTATGTAAAGCTGTCGATATGGATGGATCAACAGAGTCTGGAGTGGGTCATAGCATGATAGGCATGATGCAAGAAGGATCCAGAATGGGAATGCTCATGTATATAGTATGATGTATGATGTATGTATAATATGAGAGCAACCGTCAAAACTCGCGGATACTAAGATATGTATTGGCTGGACATTGGTTTTCAGAAGATGCAAAAAACTGAGGTTAGCGGTGGGACCTTTACAAATAGCGATACCCCATTGAATAATTAATAATGATATTTAATTTCATGATATGTCATGAGTGTTGATTTCGTCAAGTGCTCGCATCGATGATAGACTTGGGCTCATGTTTGAAAGAAAAGGAAAGGAAAAGGAAGGGAAAAGGACAGGAACAGGAAAGGAAAATGAAAGAGAAAAGACAGGAAAAGGAAAGGGAAATCAAAGCGGAAAAAAAGGAAACAAAAGGAAAAGGACAGATAAAGGAAAGAAAAAGGAAAGAAAAAGAGAAGGAAAAGAAAAGAAAAGTGAAAGGAAAGGGAATGCAAAAGGAAAGGAACAGTTTTACAAGCAAATGATAATGCACTCGCCTGATTCTGCAAAAAAAAACGCGTCGATTTTAGCGATACAATAGCGATGCCTTAGCGATACCCAAGCGATACCGAAGTTCTCCCAAGTGCACAAGATCCCCAACTACGTGCACTTGTGCTTCTACTTCTACTGCTACTTCTGCTACTTCTACTACTTCTACTTCAACCACTACTACCACCACAACTATCGCCACTACTACTGATTGCTGCTACTGCCACGACCACTAACGCTACCACTACTACCACTACTACCACTACTACCACTACCACTACCACTACTACTACTACTGCTACTACTACTACTACTACCACCACCACCACCACGACTACAATTACGACGACGACGACGACGACTACTAGTACTACTACTACCACCACTATTTTTACCAATAGTACCGCGCAAGGCGGTGGCGGATGTTTCAAAAATAGAAAAGTTGTGAATCACAGATGGCAGAGCGAATCCACTGATGGACCGAAAGGTGGTTGGAGCTGTGTTTTTTTTGAGTGGCTGCAATGGTTGCAGTGGTCACCTGGTCGGTCACCTCACCCACAACTGCTGGATGTAGTGTGGCGTAGTGCAGCTGTAGTTGTAGTTGTAGTGTAGTGGAATTGTAGTTGTGGTGTAATGTAATTAGTGTAGTGTAGTGAAATGTAATGTAATGTAATGCAATGTGGGGTAGGGTAGGTAGTGTAGTCTAGTGTAAATGAGTGTAGTGTGCTGTGGTGTGGTGTAGTGTGGCGTAGTGTAGTGTAGTGTAATGCAATTAGTGTAGTGTAGCGTAGTGTAGTGTCGTGTCGTGTCGTGTAGTGTGTTGTGTAGTGTAGTGTGTTGTGTAGTGTGGTGTAGTGTGGTGTAATGCAATTAGTGTAGTGTAGTTGCAGTTGTAGTTGCAGTTGTAGTTGTAGTGTAGAGTAGTGTTATGTAATGTATTGTAGTTGTAATTGTAGTTCTAGTTGTAGTTGTAGTGTAGGGTAGTGTTATGTAATGTCTTTTAGTTGTAATTGTAGTTGTAGTTGTAGTTTGTGTAGTGTAGTGGAGTGGAGTGGGGTGTATGTAGTGTAGTGCAGTGTAGTGTAATGTAATTAGTGTAGAGTATTGTGGTCTTATGTAGTTGTAGTTGTAGTTAGTGTGATGTGATGTAGTGTAATGTAGTGTAATGTAGTGTAGTGTAGTGTCATTAGTGTAGTGTAATGTAATGTAGTGTAGTTCCCCACATCTTTGTGTGGGGTTCTTGTTTTTGATTCTGTATCCCGGGCTTCTCCTCCTCCTCCTCCCGCCGCCTCCGTAACAAAACACACACAAACACACAAACTTAACATACAATAATTTCACACACAAACTTAACACACACAAACTTAACATACAATAATTTCACACACACAAACTTAACACACACAAACTTAACAGACAATAACTTCACACACACAAACTTAACACACACAAACTTCACACACACAAACTTAACATACAATAATTTCACACACACAAACTTAACAGACAATAACTTCACACACACAAACTTAACATACAATTAACATACAATAATTTCACACACACAAACTTAACATACACAAACTTAACACACACAAAGTTAACAGACAATAACTTCACACAGACAAACACACACAAACTTCACACACACAAACTTAACATACAATAATTTCACACACACACAAACTTAACACACACAAACTTAACAGACAATAAACTTAACACACACAAACTTAACAGACAATAACTTCACACACACAAACTTACTTGTGGTACTGGTTGGATGTTGGCATGTTTAAGTAACTCACATCCACCGTCGTTTTGCGTGGCAGGCGTGGCACTCATGGTACTGTGTGGCGCGCTTGGTCCGGATTTGTCGCCAGGGGCGCCGTGCCACTTTGCGTGGCAGGCGTGGCACTTGGTGACATCCACCTTCGTTTCACGTGGCAGGCGTGGCACTCATGGTGCTGTGTGGCGCGCTTGGTCCGGATTTGTCGCCAGGGGCGCCGCGCCACTTTGCGTGGCAGGCGTGGCACTTGGTGACATTCACCTTCGTTTCACGTGGCAGGCGTGGCACAAACTCACATCTACCTTCGTTTCACGTGGCAGGCGTGGCACTCATGGTGCTGTGTGGCGCGCTTGGACTGGCTTGGGCGCCTGTGACGCCGCGGCACTTTGCGTGGCAGGCGTGGCACAACCTGACATCCACCTTCGTTTCACGTGGCAGGCGTGGCACTAACTCACATCTACCGTCGTTTTGCGTGGCAGGCGTG